CAACGAACGCCCTAATAATCGATTCTTTACCATGGCTTCAAATAGGCGAATCATCGATATCGATCATTCACCACCGGTCCCTCGTCGGTCGAAATGAGCGGTGCTTCTAAATTCGACTTGTCTGCTTAAAAGAGACTGTATTTGATGAAAATTCGAGTAGTATTTTGGATTGAGCTCACTGTTTTTGCAGGAAAAATTAACAATGCAATTTCACTAAGTTTGTATCGATGTTTCGGAATTGTTTTGACTTCGGGTGCCAACTGTCATATATCCTAACATTATTGGGGAACATAATCATGTCAGGTAGATCAGAAAAGATTCAAGGTGTTTTATGAAAAGACTGACTTCAAAGTATACCATTCCATACTCCTGTATGGCTAAAAGAAGAAGAAAATACTGCCGTGCTAAGAAAAACGCCGTATGAACATTCGAGAGTTGCCAAATATACTTCGATAAAATGTTTATTCTTAAGAAAAGTTGCGAATATTTTTCCTTTAAATTTTCAGAATCTTAAGGTGAAATTGCAAACAAAATTATCTGAAAAATTGGTATGGAAATATTCATAAGTTTACGACGAATTCGAGTTTTATTAAAGGAAATTTAGCAACGCCTGAGGGTTCATACTGCGTTTTTCCTTAGCACGGCAGAATATAACTCCAGCGATAGAATTTTGCATCGTACGTACGTTCCGACAGCAATAATTGGTAACAGAACCATGTTACACATCAGGAATGAGCCAATCACAGCCACACGGATATGGACAAAAGTGGGAAATACGAGGGAAAATAAACACACTTTCCATCTATATATTTTCCTGGTTGAGAGACAAGGCGAGAAGTGCGGAAAATATGACGAATCGCGATTTCACGCGGCCGCTCTCTACCGAAAATTCATGGAAATCGTAACGCGCACGCATATACTCTCCGTTTTCTCTCAGACGCGTAATTTGGCACAAAACGCGGATCTACAGTTTTCGATGTTCTTATTTTCTCCTCTGAACCTTACTCCCTCAATTTTTCAGTTGGTTTTGAAATCTCGTTATCATTTTGCCATTTATTCATTTATTGCTATCCTCCCAGGCGATTTTAATTTTAGCTGAGTTTTCAAAGTGAGGCTTGGAGGAAGTAATTTACACCCGAGTAACACAATAAGTGTCTACATTTTTTTTAAAAACGTGTTTTTGAAGAAGAAATAATGTTGAATGTTGATTTTTGACACTTTTTAGATAACACTCCACGCCAACTGCAAGTCAACTGACATAATTAAAATACGTTTGGCATACCTATTTAAAATATTTCTTAGTTTCGCTCATACGCTTCAGAAACATTTCAAATACATTTTCTGAGAGGATGGACACTCTTTACTCTCGTGGAAATGTTTTGAAACGTTTGCAAAGCATCTCGAAGCTTTTCAAGTATTATCTACATTTCACCGAAAAATTTTCAAAACATTCATAATGTGCTAGTCTAAATTTGAATACGTTTCAGATACTGCTCTACGTCACCCCTATTTTGAAGACGTATTGAACATGTGTCCACGATTCACTGGTACGGTTCGGGAGTCAATTGGACCGCGGTAAGCAGGAAGGAACCAAGCCACATCAGCTAGTGCCAATTTTAATTTGGCAATTCAATTTTTTACATGGAAATGATTGTGTAGATTTGTGTGCAAAGTTCAATGAATTTTCTGCGTAGTACGAAGCAAATTTCTTAAAATGTTAAAAGGAATCCGCACCAAAGTTCTCTTGTAAAAAATTGAATTGCCTAGTTTTTGGCAATGGCTGATGTGGCTTGGTTCCTTTCTGCTTAACGCTGCGTCCATTTGAAAGTCAAAGTCCTAAATTATGAAAAAAATTTGTTGCGACAAAATTTCGTTGGAGGGTTATAACTATCACAATATATTTCCGCCGTATTTATAGGGTTTTTTTCTGATAATAAACAAATGAAGCATATTGTGCCAAAATATTCGCCCTCGCTGCTGCACGTACAGAGCAAAAGTAGCCGAATACGCATACAAAATCGGTCCTCGCAACCACTTTGTGTCTCTTTTTCACAGCCTTTTCACGTTTTGAGAGCAAACTTGAGAGAGGAAAGCTCATGTGCCTTCAGTTTGGATTGCGTTTTGCGAGGGGAAAAAATTACTTGTAAATTCAAAGATCTCACCTGTCAGTAAATCAATGCGTTCTTGGCAAGTTTTCAAGCGCTAGGTGCATTAGAGAAAGGAGGATGCGAATCTTTGAGCCTGTAACTCTAGTTATTCTCGATAAAATAATTTTGTTCCTGGTGATCGATTTGACTCATTCTATATGTTCCTTGTCAAAACGGAAGATTGAATTTACAAATTTCAATGTTCATAATGGATGCTTAAGTCTTACTTGCGAGTAGATATTAGAAAATTTCAATAAAACCAACGTGTTCTGCATGAAAAGGAGAATTTGCAAGAAAAAATTGCATTGCTGCATCTGAGAGAGCTGAATGAGCTGCATTTGCAGTAATTTTCGTGATTTTCTTTCGATATGGGAAATTGTAGAAAAATAGATTGAAAAGAGAGAAAATTTGCCGCCTTGTGCATCATCAGACGGCATTTCCCATTTAAACACATGTATTTTACCAGATTAGGTAGTTTGGTTATCACAAACTGATTGCGGTAGACGCACTAGTCGTAAGACAGTAAGTTGCAATATTTTTTTTTAGCCAATGTTCGGTAAAAATCTCAATACAGACGGAAAAAGCTCATATGAGCACAGTTTTTATCTTTTTTTTTTTTTCCCCACCAAACAGTGCATCTCTTTTAGGGAAAATTGTGCTCATACGAGCTTTTCCCCTCTGCATTGAGATTTCCAGTTTTCTGGATTTTTAGCGCACGTTGGCTAAAAAAATTACAACTTACTGTCTAATTTGGTTATCTCTTCTGCTCTAGTAGTAATGTTGTTGAATTTAGGAACCATTGTGTTCTCATGCTCAGGTCACTCAGAAGTTTCCTCTGAAGCAGGAAACTCATAAATTTTCAAACACTTACAAGGAGAGACCTGTCTCGTGATAATTAAATCGTTCGCGGGAGAAAAAAGCATAATTCAGCGTGTGGAAAAAGGTGCAAAATACGAGGAATACTGTCAAAAGGGAAAGCGAAAGGCTCAATGATTTGGAATTGTTCAGGTGCATTTATCATAGCGAAACTTTCATGTAGTGGTACCAAATTTTAGGTTTATTTCTTTCGTCTCGACATAGTCATTTTTATAGCACATATAGTGAAAAAAGTAACTGGAATTTCCTTTTAATATGGGAAGTATCACGCAAAATCTGGGTCGATTCTTTTCGGTTAACTAGACCAAATTTGTTGGTCGAAAACTCCAAATCCGTAAAAACTAGGCAAGGAAGGTTAGAACCAAATCCACATATCGCCCATGGTTATCAAAAGCGCTGGTCGCTAAAAATTACAGTGTGTCATTACATGTGTGAGTGTGCGTGACACATGTATTATCCTCACACTCATCTGCGACATATGAGTTGTTGACTCCAACATGTTCCAAAACGGATCATGCTAATCAAAACATAACTTTGACATGGTATCAACATGTAGCTGCACAGTATAAACTTGGTAAAAGAGACTATGAAACCAGTATGTTGCTTATTGGTACTGATGGTCCCATCATGATAACACACGGTTCTCAATATGGTACCGCATTGGTGAACTGTTGTCACCTCCTTGGCATCGACATGGTACACTGTTAAAATTTTTGGAGATTCTGTGACGATGTCGATACGGCGCTCAAAAACTCTGTGTGATATGAATGCGAATAAGCGGAATCTCCTCTCCTTACGGAATGACAGACACTATTACGAAGCGGAAATCCACTCTTTTGGCAAAGTGTCAGCTCTTTTAAGGTGCCGATTTCACTTTGCATTCATATCACCCGAGATTTTTGGGTGATGTGTACAGATTCCAGCACCGGATTTCACTCCTTGACTTTTAACAGTGTACTATGTCACAACAATGACCGTGTTCAGTGTTACTCTGTGTTACTTCGTGTTTCCTTTGTCAGATCAACGCAAAGGACTTGATGGCTCAACACAATTTTGTGTTAAATCGACCCAAATTCTTGATCCTCTGACTCCAGGATACTCTGTAATGTCAGGGCGTGAAAAAAATGTCCTGTGAAAAGTATGTACTCTTGTTTTCCTCCTTGTCACCCAGAAATTGTGACTTGCGACTGGCTAACGCAGTGGATTATCACCGCAGCTATCTAGGTTCGATCCTGACGGCTGAAGCCTGATTTTGACATGGTAGCAACACATTTGGTCGATTTGACACCACGATTTGAAGGAAAACCATCGCAGAAAAAGTCATGACTAAGAGCTTGTGTTACCTACTCCGTATTTTACTTCCCACACTAACACAAAACCAGGTGCGGTGAAATGGTGCTGAGTCCAAACCACCTCGCGGAGAAAACAAAGTCAAAAATGTCCAAAAATCACCGTGTCTGTGATTAAAATCAGTTGCAGTGGTACTTATTAAGACTCAAAAATTTTTTAACTCTGATTGAAATTTTTGAGACTTTTTGGCTTCATTTGTTTTCCCCGCAAAATGGTGCGGACCAGCACCATTTCACCACCTTGTTACATACAGTTCGGGCCATTTCTCAGTGTTCTTTTCTCGTTTAACACAAAACTTTAGTTACTTTTTCTTACGGCACTGGGGGAAAAAAAGCTTAGATCCAGAGTCCGCAGACTCTTAAGAACTTCGACAAGAAAAAATACTCTAGATTCAATCGGATTTTTGCTTAAATCAAGAACCAAGCCTCTGAATTTGAGCGGATTTCTTTTTGATCTAAGCTTAAATCTGATTGAATCAAGAGTCCTTTTTCTTGTCAATGTTTTCAAGAGTCTGGACTCTAGATCCAATGTGTTTTTTTCCAGTGTAAGGTGCACTGACCAAAATGGTCGTTTCAAGCAGGGATTACCCTGTGATCTATTCGTCAAGGATTGAGTAGTGCGTCCTACCTGTAATAAGGGAAGCCTTGAGGGACGTGCAGATCCATGGGCATCGTAGGGGGTGCATGGTGGGCGGGGTAGGCGGGGTGGTGGTCGCCCAGGCCGCCGGCGTGGCCCAGGACGGCGGCCGCCCATGGCGAGCTCGCGAACCCCCCCGGGACCCCAGGGACCCCCGGGTGATCCAGCGCGATTTTCCTCTCGACCAGGCCGCAGTGCATAAACCTCGCGAGCACCCACTTCCGCCGAGCGCCCCGAAATCACACCCGAACCCACCGACCGCCCTCAAAACAACGACATCTCAACACTCAAAAAAAAGAAGAAAAAAATACACCGCGGTCCGCAGAACACACTTCGAAACTCCGCGAACGAGTTCACCACATCCTGGAAAAAAGTTCACGAACGATTTGTCACTGTATAGAGCACCAACACTGGGAAAATTTTTCAGCGAGCAACTGATCCCCACTTCGCGTATATTCGCGGACAACGCAGAATTTCGCGGATAATCCTCAAATAACGCGAGGATTCCGCGGGAATGCCTCAGAAAACGCGAAAATCACACAGACAATCCTCAGATAGAAATGCAGGGCAGCAAGAATCCTCAAATAACCAACTCGCGTAAAAAAAAAACGGATACAACGCGAGAATCACGCGGATAATCCAATAACGCAATAACGCGGATAACGCAAAAATAACGCGAAGAATCCTCAGATAACGCGAGAATCGCACAGATAATCCTCAGATAAAATTGCAGGGTGCATTCGAATCCTCAGATAAGAATGGCTGGAAGGGGGAGGGGGTGGTAGGGTAAAATTCCGCTTAAAGGGTTGGTCCCCCCACGAAACCTACACTTGGGATCGATTGGAATCGCGAATAATCGCGAGGATATTGCACGACGTTGCGAGGATGACGGTCACTCACTCCGCGAAACGTAAACGTAAACGTGGAGGGGCTGTTGGCGTTGAGAGAGAAAAGGGAACCATGTGGTCTGGCGCGGGAGATGAGTCCGCATTAGAGTTCACGCGCCAACTGAGGAGGGCGCGACGCGGAGCGCGGCCTGGGCGGAGCCAAAGGGGCGGCCTGACCGCGCCCCCCGGCCCTCGCAACAGGTGAAGCCCGTTTCACGGGCCCGTCACACTCTCGTAGTGGTACTTTCGCTAATCACGAGCCGACCTCCCCCCGCCCGCCCCCGCCGAGCCCCCCACGCCCCCCGCCCCCGGCCGCGGTGGAAACCGAGTCCCGTTGGCAAAGGTCGTTCGCGATGCGGATCCGGGGAAAAGGTGTAAAAACGCGGATCCGTATGCGTTCGGACGATCCGTGATTCGTCGTTCCCCGGCGAAGGAACGTAACTCAATTCCGAGGTTGCAAAGTTAGTTCAAAAATTAAATTTTTAACAAGATTGTTCCTGTGCAATTTCTTTCCAAACTTCCACTGATTTTTGTATGAGAACCGAATAAATTCCGGCGAAAGTTCCAGTTGGAAATGCCCAAGATTCTCCTGATGAAAACGTAAAATGCGAGGGAAAACTTGGCAATGCTGAAATGTACTCACGTTCTTTTGTGAGGAGAACGACAGTATTTGTTAGGCAGTACCGCAAATCGGGAAATTGCTGCACGGTTGGAAATCTTGCGGTGCAATTCGGAGTAGCTGAAAAAATGGTTGAAAACCATTTTTCTAATTTTAAAAATGAATAATAAAAAAAAAACCGCGTTGTATTTGAAGACAAATTTTGGGCACTGATAAGGCGTCCCCTCACGCAGCTTTCCCGCCAGTCGCACCGCAACCAATCAGCGCCTCCCACCCTCGCGCTTATCACGGATTGGCCGCACCTTGCATAGCGCTTATCGAGTTGGCTCTCAAAATTGGGATTTGAGGCGTCTAAAATGATTCACGGAAATAAACACATACAAAATATCCGCTTTCATAGCGCTCCCTGGAGCTCTGTAACACCTAGCCGCCGAAGTCTCCTATATCCTTGCAGAGCTCTTCCGGGATTTGGCATTCTCTCATTTCTTCCTTCACGAAAATCAATCTGTATAATCTCAAGGAACAGGGTATGAACTGTTCCGTTACTTTATGTACTGACAGGGAACGTGAATTCGCATTTTAAGCCGCAACTACAATGACTGGCTGAAACGTCATGTAGTCGATCCTTAAAACGCAGCTTTTGAAACCACAAAACTCCAAATCGTCGTGCGCCTTGAAGCAGTGGTAAATGTCTCACGTCTGAGATTCCGACGCACGTAGGTATTTTCTTCACGGACACTCACGTATAGCTTTTACTCTTAGTTCCTAATATTTGGGCCTCATTTGGCAATCGGGAGCTACAACTTCTGGTTCATTTCAGAAACAAGCTATGCATAATTAGTTTCCCTATGCAGATAGCTGCTTTCGTGGGTGAGTCAGAAATTTTGGTTCCTTATTGCAAAATGCAATTCATTTGACCTTTTACATCCGAATGGCCCGAGTCAGCCCTTTTAGAAATCCAAGAAACTTAAAGTTGCACTTTAGTGATCTCCAGTCATTATTCCACTCCCAGAAAATTCACCGGCATGCACTGATACGAGCGGCAAACACGTTTCAAGATCTGAGATAGGTGTTGTAACCCATACGGTGCATTGCACATCTATGTGGGAGGACATCAATCATCACAGAAACGTGGCTACATTATTGACTGTTGTAACGGCACGTCTCTAGTGGGTGCATGCAGGGAAAATATGAGCGAACATGAAACCCGTTGTGGATGCAATAGTTATCGAATCCATGTTTTTGGGGTGAGAACTACAACTATACTCCATTTCCGTGTTTGAATACTTGTGTGGATTCAAGGTTCAATTTGTTAATCGCTCTGTTTTTGCGAAACTCGTTTCAAAATTACTGAGATTATTTTTTAAAAAATTACGGGGTTTCAAACAATTTGTGTCGTGGAAGTTTTGAGAAATCCCATTCTCAAACACAGAATCAGGATTCTTGTTGAGTCTGCTGTAAAATTTTATTTTTTCGAACAGAAACAATTCCTTAAATCAGTAAAAAAAAAAAAAAAAAAAAAAAAAAAAAAAAAAAAAAAAAATCACGATAAATGAATTGGAATGCTTTCACATTTTCCTATTTTAATGTAAGGCTGCGCCCTGTTTGATTCCGTTCCGGAAGACTCGCCTTTTTTTATCAGCGGTTGTACATAGTCCTAGCATCAAAATAATCGTCACTCTCAAATTATATACTCCAGGAAATTCTTCTCAGTTCGATTCTGGACAATTTTAAAGTAGCGCCATGGGTTTCTACAGAAGTTCCAGATTATTGTTGTCGCCGTGACAAACATCGATAAAAGCATGGTTTATTTGGATTACATTTTGCAATAAGGAACCACTATTTCTGGCTAATTTTAGAAACAACATATGTGCCATTGATTTTCCTATGAAGATACGTGATTTTATGGGAGAGCCAGAGATAGTGGTTCCTTATTGCAAAATGTAATCCATTTATCGTGCTATAAGCTCTGAGAGTTTCGAATAATTACGGTTCTACCACTTCTTAGGGTTCTACCAAAACTCTAAAATTCTGTAAAGCTTCATTTTTTTCCTGTTATTCGGAATATATCTATCAATGAAGAAAATCAATAGAAAGGATGACTAAAACACAATAATTATGAACTATACGCCGTTCTTATGCTAAAGCACTTATAGCAAGTCAGAACTCTCGATCCAGAAATTCCAAAATTTGTCATTATTTCCTCACAAAGAAACGTAACCGCATTTCAATGTCGCCAACTTTCCTCTCGGACATTGTATTTTTACCATGCAAATCTTAGACATTTCTGACCGAAAATTTTACTAATTTTTCCTCTGATATCATGCAAGAACCAGAAAAAATTCGGAGACAAATTGCACGGGTATATTCTTGTAAAAAATTGAATAGTTTTCATCAATTTTGCAACTCTAGAATGCAGTTGTGTTTATTCGTGCTGGAAACGATGAATCATGCGGTTTTATCGGCTAAACAAATCCTGGGCCCATCGGCTCTCCACACTTCTGGAGAGGTAAAAGGAATCCGTCCGTCTCGATGAGAGCGCCATAAATAAAAAACAATTATCAGAACATGTGTTCCCACTGCTTTGATCATCGCTAATCGATCGGAGGAACATACGCAAATGCCTCAAATTACCGGGCAAATTACGCACACCGGACACCGGCGTCTGGTAAACTTCGTCGTCTCAGACTGGACCGTTCCTTCCCTGCTGTCGCCCAATTATTCCCCTCCATAGCCTCCCCCTATCTCCTGCAACTGGCCATCAGTTTATGATTATCCTCGTCTTTTACCTAGAATGCACGTTTAATAAAGTCTCAGATTTTTAAGGCTCACTCTGCTGTCAGATTTTGCCTCTGTGTCAAAAGTTTCCGAGCATTTCCAAAAAACTGGGAAGGGCCGTAATTGGAGACGTTATAATGGATTAAGCAGTTGAGTAACATTTGATATCTTGAAGTAGATATTGAATCAATGATTTAGGATGATTCTCTCCCTAGAATAAAATTTGAGGAGAAGGTAACTCTAGAGCTCATATATATTCCACCGTGATATTCACACTTCTAGATCATTTAAGATCATTTCCAATTTTCAACGCGTTAGAAAATTCCATCATTGGCTGTGTCAAAAATGCAAATCAACTCGCGAACAAGTCAGATCTTAAATCTCCACAGATTTCTGAAAGTAAGTGCTGTATTCATAGTCGTTTATTTATTCGCACGGGAAGTTTAAATGTCCTGTTTTTTATGTCAAACATTTACCTCTCACCATGAGTTATTATTGATAATTCCCGACAGTTACAACGCGTCCAGCGTGAAATTTTAATGAGAATGCATGTGCGGTAGTTCTTGAATTCTTGTCGTGTCCAGTGTTACATTCCTTACCATATTTTGTTAAAGTTCAAAACGCTCAATAGGACCATATCAAGTTCGAAGTGGCTGAAATTGTATACCTCATGATTAGAAGGAGCACCCAATTTTCCACTATGGATTCAAAACACGCGATACAACTATACATCAACTCCAAAATGGCTCATATTGCATAGCTGCTGAATTGAAGGATCACTCAGTTTTTTACTCGGGCTTTCACCCGTATAGATCTCCAAGCAGCTCCTTTCCTTACGATGGTATGCTTAGTCGTTCTTTGTATGTTACGACCTTCTTAACCAATGCAATTCTTCATTCATCAAATTCATCAATCAATGCATTCATCAAATGATCTATTATAATCGGAATTGGTTCGGAATTTGATCGTCTATTGAGGCTTCATGATACTATGATTAGAGTCTTCTTAAAACCTCCGGTCATCACAACCACACGGAGCCTCCTAAAGGAAGTTGTTGTTTAAGGGACAACAGGCTGCAGATACAGTCCTGAGTCTCCTCGCGCATAACAGTGTTTTCCCTATTAAAACAATAAAAATCTTCTCTGCGGCGCCTTCCTCAAATTTTCAGGGCTCCGGGCCCAATTTTGCAGCGGGGATCCGCTCCAATCCCGCGGTCGCGAGCCCTCCGCAACGCGCCACCGAGGACGTCGCGCCGGCCGGCACACGGGGCGCCAGGACCGCGCGGCTATTATTTAATTATGTTTTGCATACTTAATGTACTCGACATTAGCTCCGTGGCGCCCCGGC